CATGTTGTCACCACTGTCAATGAATCACACGTAAACGCTACAACTGTTAAAAAAATCACCGAAATTAATTATCTAAGGAATGTAACTACTGTCAGTAATTCACACATACCCACCAACACTCTTGAAAAATCCACTCAAGCCAATGAAATAAGGGAAATAGCCAAATCCAGTGAATCAATAAAGACCACTACTATCATTTATGATCCAGTACGGGAAAAAGGGTTAGAATTTGAATATGTATATGTAATATGTGTAATAATGGGAATAATAATATTAACAATGATTATAGCAGTAATTAATTTATGTCATTATTACAAAGTAATAGGAAGAAGTCGATTTGATTATTTGAATCCAATAACGGTTAGATCTTATTCAACTCGAGATAATCTAGAGTTATCAGAAACAAGGTTATAATTAATAGTAAAAAAAAAAAAAAAATAACAAAGTAATCAATAAGATATATATATATATAATTTAGAAATTAATTATAAGTATAGTAGAAGTTGTCAAGACAACAGGTAAAAGAGTTCCATTAGCTAAGAGTTAAGGATTAATATTTTGTAAGTTTGAAATTTGAGTGGATCATGTTAGACGACCTTTAGTAAATTATAACAGAGAGACATAAGAATGGATAATAAACAAAGAGTTTAATCATAATAATATAGGAAAACCATAACGTTGTATACGATTATGATTTATTTTAATTATTCTTTATATAGGTTGCTCTGCATTCCCATCATCCAAGGTCAACTACCGTACTATAATGAAGAATTTAAAAACGAAACAGCCGTATTTTTCGAAAATCAAGGTGAACTGAGAATAATAGGAGCACATTGGGAACTTGTAACATATGTACCATTAGTTAATTATGATAATAGATATGAACAATTGTCAACAGAAATTGATAATATGACCCAACATTGTAAAGACATGTTATCTGAATATGAAGTATGTGCACGGTTTTCGCATATGGTAAAAACCATGTTTATGGAAATAGCGTCACAAAGGGAGCAAATGTATGAATCTATAGGTAGATACGTGAACACAGATAGGAAAATATCATCAGTCATTAGGAATAGGCGAGGGCTGATAAACATCATAGGAAGTGCTATGAAAACGTTATTTGGGGTATGCGACGATGATTGCACAAAAGAAACTAATAGTAACATTGAGAAAATAGAAACCAGTAATGAAAATATGTTGCACATTTTAAAAAAAACAGACCACTGTAGTAAAGTCAGTAGTACAAGGAATAGGGAATACTTCTACCGAAATGAATAATTTATACATTGAATTAGGAAAGAAACAGGGCGATATTTATAAGAAATTAAATGAAGCTGCTAATCACACACATACCATTGAAACAATGATCATTAGCAACAGAATACATAATATTTTTACCGCTTTAATTACTCAATTTTCTTACGAAACCACAACTATAAGTGCTATAATTACAGCAGCTAGAACAGGAATTCTACATCCAAGTTTAGTAACCCCTAGGGAACTGGCAAAACAATTGACGCAAATTAAATTAAATTTACCTGTGAAACTAAATTTACCTATGGGAACCCAACCAAATGAAATTTATGAGTTGAGTAAAATAACAAAAATGGCCGTGTACTATAGTGGAAATCAAATAGTTTTCTTAATCAAAATACCTTTAGTAACTGAACTCGAATTAACATTATTTAAAATAATCCCAATACCACACAAAATTAATTTCAATCATAGTATAATACTAAAACCAGAATTCCAGTATGTGGGCATAACTAGGAATAGGAGACAATTCACAACGTTCACTGAGACCCAATTACTAAGCTGTACCGAAACAGAAATTTTCAACATATGTCTAGAATTTCAGCCAATACAACATGAGTCGGTAAGACAGCCATGTGAAATTTCATTATTCAAAAATCCGGAATTATTACCCAATAACTATGAAGCAGGAATCATACTAATATCGAAAAACATTTACCATAAACTAAAATATTCAAATACATGGATTTATTCCACTACTAGCGACACATTGACAATAACGTGTCAGGGGGAACAGGAACCACATATAGTCAAATTGCGAAATCAGGGTTTAATAAATTTAACACAGGAATGTCGAGCTTATGCTAGCGATATAGTTTTGAATCCTACAAGGGAAATAAAATCCAAGAATTACGTCAACTTTATACCTAAATTAGGAATAGGGAGTTTAGCTTTAAAAGTTCCTAAACTAAATTTATTGGCAATACCAAGATATACCCAAAGGCATGACTCTTTGAAACTGGATAACGTCCATGAATTAGCTCATTCTTTGAATGATATACAATCAATGGTAGATAAAGAAATGGACAGACAAAACGGGAATGCAGACCAAACTGAACCTTATTTAATCTATGTGTTATTAGGTTTATTATTATTTTCTTTAATATTAATTTTATTATTGTACGTAATGTACGTGTACAATAAAAACTTAATAGGTACACGCTCCATAAGAGTAAGACATATTGAGGAGCCAGTAAGAAAAAGTAAATTTTTCAGACAGGCAATTTACGAACCAATGAATAAAAGTAGTAAGACATATGACTTGCAAGGACCAATAGTACACTGTAAGTCATATGAAGAAAAGGATAAAAACATACAAGAAACCTCATTTTCAGATACTGTTGATAGGAATATAAATACTAATCCCGCTAACTTACCAGCAATAATAGATAGATAACTAATAATGTAATTAAAATTGTAATAATTGTATAATTAATTTAGATATTCATATTTGTATATAGAGAAAATACCCACAAATTCGTGATAATGGATTTTGAATTCACCAATATCCATAAAACCAGTAAGGTCCTCATCTCAGGAGCTATTTCGAATAGTTTGGACCGATTTAAAATAAGGAAGTTAGAAGGACGACCATTATATTTACCAGAAGACGGGGAAGTTCGACCGATGAAAGACCGTGAAGTATTAGTTGCACAGAGAGCGTTGGCTCGAATTTTTAAGGCGAAGACGGAACTGCGAGACATATGTTTAGAACAACTAAACCAGAGTCTAAGAGCCCCAGTAAATAGTTTAAATGCGACCTATTTACGAAACTATATACTGCGTGGTGACAAGATTAATGTGTTAGTAGTATGGGAAGGTAGTTCTGATAAGGTCATTCTCAAAAGATTAGGAATAACGGAGTTTCCTATATTAAATTTAACTTGTTATGATAAATACTTTAATAAGTAATTTTATATGCAATTGGAGACAGTAAATCCTAAAAGGACAATTTTTGAAATAGAAGTAGGTACTTATGATAAGTCAGGGAGAACCTTAAATCTTACAGAAGCACATAACTTAATTTGCAGGAAAAAACACAAAATTACACATGCACACGACCCACGAACGGATGTTATATATACAAAATGTATTTTTGACTTCGTCGTACGAAATTATAAATATGAAAATTTAATCAAACATTTTTAACAATTTAAAAATTTAAAGCTTCAAAAATCAAAATTGCAAATAACATCATTTTAATATTATAGGAAACAGTAATCTAAAATGGATAGGAATGAACAGTTATTACAAGAACTTAACATTAGTATAGCAATCCAGACACACACGAACTCAGAACAAGGAGAATGGTATAACTTTACAGAATGCTTTGACTATCACATAATTTCTGCTAATAATGCAATACTGGTACCATACGAAAGCAGAGAGGTTTTGGAAATAATAAAATGTGTAAAAAGGTTCGTAACTGATATGGTATTGGGAAGGGATCTAACAAATCCAATATATATGGATTTGGCTAGGTACATTGAAATTATACCCCAAGCAACAGATATACTGTTTTATGATAGGTGATATAACGGAAATTAATATATACTGGTCAATATACCATTGGAGAATTTAAATCTTATTATAATTGTTAATAATCAAATATTACTATTAACCAACATTTTATTGTAATCAATAAATACTATATATGTAAACTAACATTTATTATTATAACATTAAATATTATATTAATATTGTATTGGAACTATTGTATTTTAATCAATTAACTTAATCAAATTACTAACAAATATTTTATCTGTATTTAAATTTTATATGTAACATTATTGTATCAATTTAATCAATTGTAATACTCTAGACGAGTAATCAAAAAAAAATGTACTAACAATTATCATGTAAATTGTCATAATAAGACAATGATTAATTATTTATATATTGTATCTGTAAACTCATGAACTATGTAATTTATGTAAACCAATTGTAAACTTTTATCTATGTAAAATTTTAAAGCTTTTTGTAGCCCTACAAAATTGTAGCCCCACAAAAACCTTTGAAAGGGCGGTGAGGTGTAGCGAGCTGTGACTATTTTGCCATATGGTTTAAACACATTATAATGAATACGTAATCATATAATATTCGTACCGCGTATATATAAATATTATACTCGAGCGCTTATTCGAATAGTAATAATATAATAATAGTAATATCGAGCGCGTGACCATGAGCGGCGTGCGACAATAGATATATGACTACGTATATGGATAATCCTAAAATAATATGGTTAGATTTGTGCTGTTATTAATTATTGTTGAGTAACACCACAAATGTGCTATATAGATATATGTGGACTTCCGGCGCGTGCAAGCGTGTGAAATTCACAAAAGGCTTAACCGCAAGACCATGTATGGTTTTAGAATAATGGAAGGACCATATATGGTCTTAGAAATCTTAGAAAGTATGGAAGTGGCAAGGGACAGAGATCCATCGAGGAGAGCTGATGGACAAGCGTCCATCAGACGAGCAACCAACCTCAACTTCGACAGTCACACCACTAAATACTCATAGTCACAACTCGCTTTTAGTTTATTATTTGGACTTAGGATAAATTCCATAAAACTGTTTATAAAATAAATACAATAAATACAATCAAAAGAGGTTATTGTTCTATTATTGCTTCCAAATCAACAAGTAACGCTGTTGGGCACGTTACACAGTATAAAATGTGGATCATAGTTAGTTTTGACGATGAAGATGCTATACAAGCTGTTCCTGCTCACTGGATGAAAAATAACATGTGTGCATGGCCAAAAAAAGATACAAAAAAACATATACAACGTAGGACTATTCCAAATAAATTTGTTTTTAATTATTTTAAATCAAGAATTTTGAAAAAAGGCATTGGTAAATATTTTATTAATAGGTAGATTTTATTTTATTACTACTTATTTACTTTAATAGGGACAATACACAAAGCTCGAGAAACGGTTAAATTAGCAGAGCAGACAAGTGACCTATCTAATATTGAAAACACAAAAAGGAAAAAAAACCTCCTCAGTATATTAAAAAATTACTATTACATAAAAATAATAAACAAAATGGTAAAAACCTATTGAATATATATAATATATAAATACATGATTTATTTTATACAAGTAATTAAATATGTATTTATAATATTTATTTTAATAACTGGTTAATTGCCTTTTTTAGATCATTTAGTTTCTGGGGAGGTAGATTTTGATAGGTCGATAACATTGGAGACTTCACCCGAAAAGCAGAAAACAGTTACAAGTTATAGTATGTTTACCTTTTTTGTTTTAATAAATTGTTTATAACTATTTAAGTTTTAATTTTGTTATCAATTTGCAGATTTTAACCAAGATTTAGATTATGATTATAAAGAAATCAGTACAACAGATAATTTTAAGACACAATCATTAAAATCCAAACTAAATATGCCTGGTTCTAGATTTTCAAATAAAGGTATAGGCGTTGTTTGACGTATTATTCCGGGTTATCAACCACGGAGAATAATTTTATCGTGTGCGGATGAATTTTAATTTTACCCGATACTGTCGCTAATCAATAAATACAATGCTCGTAATATAACATATAAATCGGATTGATATTTTCAATACTCAACAATAAATATTCGTACAGCCCTACTTACAACTATGTTAGTTAACAATGGTTTTAAATAATAATCGTAACAAATTCAATAATGTATAATAAACAACAGTGTATGGCATATAGCCAACTCACGGTACCACCGATGGATGAATCCTGGAGTGAGGGCGATAGAGTGATGATGATGATGTGGTGGATGAAGATGATGTCTTGGATGAAGACGACGATGAGGGTATGCGTACGGGAGCGCGTATATAATAAGGTATTACCCTGCAGCACGGACACAGAACAATTATTATAATATTATAATAATACTGACATCTCGTTTATGATTGTGCGTATAACGGCGCGAACGGAGATGGTTACTTTGTACTGTGAGAATCACCACTATGTTGCGTACAAAGCTCAAAACCGCACGAGACACAGCTCAAAACGACGTGCGTGTTCCACAGTTCGATGACGACACCGCCGATCATAGACCGCTATATCGACCGTCTTTGAAGCCGTATAGTTCAGGCGGTGGGTTATCACTCTGTTCTCAACAGGCGTATTATATTATAATTATTGAAGCACAGATTTAAAGCTTTTATTTATTTATCTCTAATTATGTCTTTTTAAGGTCATACTAATGATCAGATGTCAGATTTCTCTCCATCAAAAGTAAAAAAGAACTATTTTTAAAGAAATAGGCATATCAACTCAAGGTATTTTATTATTTATATTTCATTATTAATTTAGTTAAAAATTATATTTTATTATATTATATTATATTATGTAATATATATTACATGTTAAATGTATATATTATTAACAGAGAATAAATCTTCATCAACAACTCCAGAAAGTAATCATGAAATACCATCCATCGTTTATACATCATCTTCTCTATTTAAGGTCACGTCACAAGACATCTATCAATCATTAATTCCTGATGTGCTTGAAGAAATAGTGTTATCAGGTAATTATACTTGTTGAGCTATTTAATGGTCATGACTTATGACTGAGTATATAATATTATAACAATATATTCATTGTTTTCCCTAGATTATAATACCAAACAGTTAACAAATCTTGGTCATAGACCATCTACATCAACTAAACACAATTTTAATGATGATTTAGAAATCAAAAACATGGCACCTAAGCCATCTACAAAATACAATAATTATAATATTATTAAAGATCACAAAAGGATGAATGAAGTTTCACCACAGAGTAATTTAGCCATCACACCAAGAAGCACTAATTAATCTGACCAACATTCTGGTAAGATTTTATTAGTTGTATTGATACTTATAGATATTAATAAATCTTTAAATTTGTTTAAACATATTATTTTCCCATTACAGATATTTTGAACAGGATCTTAAATGTGGTATTAAAGATTGGGTATGATGTAGAGTCCGTTCAACAGAAGCAGATGGAAATGGAACAGACTCTAACAGATGCAATAAATCAAGTACATGAAACCAAAGGCTCTACTCACCAAAGTATATTAACAGAAGGAGAAGATTTTTATTTAATGATTCCCATAATAAAGAACAATTATTTATTTTTGAAGAAAAAGTTTTGGAAAAGTCTTATAAAATTATGTGCTGTAAGTGAAAATATTACATTTGATTTAACAATATAATTTATTATATCTTTAATTTACATGAATTATTCTTTAATTAACAGTTATAACACTTAAGATATATTAAATGAAAATTATTAAGCACCTTTCTATAGGTAAATGAGGTCAAACGTCTTCAAAAAATAGAACTTAATTCTAAGGTACGAGGCTTACTAAAAGCACTTTTCAATGATGACGCCTTAAAAGAATACAGTTATGTTGGGCAAAAAAAAAAGAAAATTTTCAGTTCATTAAGATCATGTGCAATAGTTTTTGGTGAGTGTTTTCTTAGAATATATTATAATATTTTTGTCTAATTCAACTTTATATAGTAAATAGTCTACATATTTTGTTACAGAAACGATTAGAAAAATGAAAAACTTCCAAAGTACAACTAATGCAGCTATTGAAGACCCAATTAAAAAATACATAGCTGGTGCTGGTTTTAGAAAATCTTCTAAAAATACAGATTAACCAATTTAAAATTTCAACTATTATTCTATTAAATGAAACAAGTATTTTAAAGTTATATGTATAATAACTGTTTATTAATTTAAATTAAGTACATAATATTTATATTGTAATATTACTAAAGTTTGTTATTTTTATTTTATGTAACTATAATATTATATGCCTATAAATATTATTTTACAATAAGCTATACATTTATATTTTCCTTATTTTAAATAAAAATTAGAAATATTTTATTTTTTTGTTTACTGACTACATTTTAGTTTAAATATCCATACAGCCTTGAATGGTATTGGTATATGTAATAGTTTTATGTTAAACTGAAATGTGCAGCAGAGTACCTATAAGAATAGATGCTCTTTTTCTAACTGTTATTTCAACTGCCTAATGTATGTTGGCTTATGGAAATCTTTTTATAAAATTCATTAAATGTGCAAGTCAAAATACATAGGAATCATTTTGTGAGCAAAAAGTAGAAATCACATATTTAAATACTTTAGCTGCTAATAGTGTGTTTAAAAAACGTAAAATTAATATTATAAAAACCTTCTCGCATCATTATTATAATGTTGAAATGAGAACATAAAAACAATTTAAATATTGTTATTTGGAATATTATAATGATATAATTCTTAAATTGTTTTTATAATATTTTTCTACAAATATTATAATAATGAAGGTAATGTGGTCAAAAAATATTACTATAATTTTATTATCACACTTTTGTACTCAATTTAAAATTAATTAATATTGATTAAATAATATTACTCGCTACAAGTGAAATGTCATAATAACATTATTATATTATGATTTTGCTATCTGGGTATTTATGTTCATATCTCCAATTAAGAAGGAAAAGCCCTTATCTGAAATTTCTTTATCAAAAATATTACGTAAGTTTACGATAAAATCGTTAGTGTTACTTGCAGGCGATCTATAAACGCAGTAAAATACTAAAGGCGTATAGCGTATTATTAATACATAGTGACAGTTTTAAGATGTTGCTATCTACAGAACCAAATTCATATAAAATTACCGATATGGCTAGTGTTGCCACCTTTGAAAGAAAGCAGCCCTGGAGACAGGCCGATAAGCAAAAAAAAAAATAATTTTTCTTGTTCGGGATTTTTTAAAAAGTACAACAATTCTTGACAGTTCATATTGTAATTTAATTTGACGCAGAGTTCTGATTTAACCATTTCCACTGATAGACGATTTCTTTCATCGGACCATAAATTTCCCATCAATGAAAATACTCGTTCAACAAAAGCATTACTTATGGGAATTGAAAATATTTTTCCAATAATTTTTGGAAGTTCAGTGAAATCGTTTTTTTGGAACAACTATACCCACATTAAGTCTGAAGATAAGTTCAATTTGGAAAGCTCTACCCAGACTCCTTGCACATTTTTTACTTCGTCGTAAAGTCGGTCTTCTTCAATATTTTTTAATCCTAACAAATTCACAGATTTTAATGTATCATCATACTCAACTGTTTTGTTTTTTAAATTAAAGTTTGAAAATATCTTAAAAATAGAATCGTGAAGTCGTATTTTTTTTTAAAATAATCAATAGTATTTTTATACACTTAATTAGCTTCTTTTTTAAACATTACTAGCTCACTTTCTTGAAGTGATGAAATACTTCTCGTAACTTTTGCACCATAAAATGAATAATTCAATCGATTTTCAATTTTATCTTTTAGACCTTGCATAACATTGTGTAAGTCAACGGATGTTACGGAATTTGTCTCGAGTATTGCCTCATTTAGTATATTCATGTAGTGGTGAATAAAGTACAAAAAGCATTCTGGTAATGTTACTTTGCGTGACAAATCGGTCATTTCTGTCGTGTCAATATTTTTGACAAACTTCCATATGACTTGATGACATTTTTCTTCTCCTTGGTATTTAAAATAAGATGAAACAGCAGGCCAAGACATTATCAGTCTATCGACAGCTTTAAACAAACTTAGCCATTGTTGACGCGTGCTATTATATTATTATATTGTACTATTTTATTATTATTATTTTATATTAAGAGTCGATAATTTGTATCGGTATCTTTCGGTCTTGATAAAGACGATACGCGGCCGATCCCGATAACACATTATTATAAACTTATATTATACTGTGTGACTATTGAGTCAGTCGCGTACGGTCGATGTAATCGGCACCGTCTCGCGTCGTCGTAATAAATAACCATAAATAAAGATGTATATATTTTTGCGATCGAAATAAGGTGCGTTACAATATATTTGTACGGGCGAGGACCTTCAAGCTGTATGATGGGTTCCCCGACACCTAGAGTTCTACAAGGAATGGACTGTATTATATAGGACTCTGCTTACACACAACCTTGCTTGTAAACGGAGGGTTTGCCTGCAGTGAACAAGAGGGTGTGTAAGACAGATAACAGAGTTGGTGTGGCTAAATACCAAAATAATACTAGGTGGTAACAAAATATATAATAGTATATTAAAATGACAAAAACTTACAGTATCGTGGAGCACAGGAACTGGCCAGTTACTGCTTGCTTGTAATAACTAAATAATAACAGTATAATACATTTACAATAATAATAACATTTTCTTTTGGTTACATAATATTTCACTTTTATTGTTGTATACACTCAGTAATTGAAAAGTTCACTTCTGGTAGTGATTATAATATATTTTCTTTTAACAAAATGTCCACACAACGCAACACTATTGTGCGTGCTGACAATTTAATTTATAATTAAAACAAAAACAAAGATACACATAAACTTTAGCTACTTCAGCCTTCTTTTTTATTTCTTACTATATAGAAAAAACTAGTACCTACTAACATTAACTTACATACTATACAACAACATTACAAACAAAAAAAACAAAATTGATTACAGATACAATCAGAGGTATACAATCCAGTGGTTGAGGAGCATAGGTGCCGGGATTACTACTAGAGCGCAGCACATAATTGTTCATGCGTGAACAATATTGATTAAACTAATTATTCCTATCCGAGAACCAAAAACAAAGAAAAAGCGTTACAGTCCACAACATGGTCCTTCGACGACGGATAGCGAGTAATTTAGATTAATTTGGAGTGAAAAGGCTTAAAAAAGTGAGAAGCCACGTGTACGCGAACTCAAAAAGTTAAGAAACGATTTAATAACAAAGCGAGTTATTAGAGCATTGGAGTTGGATGTTGGCTGATTGGGGCAAAGAGCGTGCACCGTCGTCAAATTCATAAAAGGTAAGAGATTTCCAATTTCCTTAATACATAGTACTTGAAAATTTATATTTTCTCGTGGTAAAAATTCCTTATATTTGGGCTATACCCGGGGAGATAGTATAGTATAGGTGACAATATAATCGATTAGCACGTCACTATCAGTATTTTATTTGCGATAAAATAGTGAACGTATATGCTTCACATCGTAAACCAATTAGTGCGGGTTGTGCAAAGGAGATATAAGATAAGTAATAGTCGACAATTAAATTTATAGTTGGCGATTGCGTTGCGTCGATATTATAAAAGTTATTATTCTTATTGTCGTATAAAATAAGAAATATTATACGAATAGAAGATAATACAAATAATGAGCGACATATCAAGTTTAATTAAGTGCCGCGGACAGCTGAAGGCGGCCGTAAAAAGATTTTTAAATTTTGTAACGAAAGAGAACGTAGACGTAAATGAGATATACATAAGAAAAGAGAAAATAGAAGAAACTTGGAGCGAATACGAGCGAATCCAATCTGAAATAGAAGAGACTGAGGGCGTAGAGAGGGACGAACAAAATAAATATCGAGAAGAGTTCGAAGAAATGTTTTTTAAGGCAGTAGGAATAGCCAAAAAATTGACGGAACCCGTGTTCAATGAAAAAAAAAGTGCAACCATACCGTGGTACTGATGAAGACGGAACGTGCGAAGGGAATTACCGGTCAATAGAAGCGACGACCGATATTAAAGATAGTGGTCGAAAAATCTCGCGTCCACCGATAAGATTATCGGCGTTGAATGTGCCGACGTTTTCTGGCGAATATAACGAGTGGGCAACATTCCACGATATATTTACATCGTTAATCCATAATAACGAGGATTTACCTCCAGTTGAAAAGTTTTTTTATTTACGTTCCGCGGTGACAGGTGACGCGCAGAATTGTATTCGATGTATTGAGACTACATCAAGCAATTATGAAATGGCATGGAATAAATTAAAACAAAAGATATAGCAATAAAAAAGTATTGGTACAAACACATGTAAAGGCAATGTTTGAATTAGAACCAGTCACATCCGAATCGTCGGAAAAATTGCGACAGTTTACGGATGCGTTAACCGGTCATAATGAGCCCACTAGAAACGTTAGGTCACACACCTAATAGTTTGGGGCCCTTACTAGTGCATTTAATAGTAACAAAATTAGATAGAAATAGTAGACGTGAGTGGGAGACGATTACGGCTAAAGAGGAAGTAGCACCGGTCGAAGTATTAATTGAATTTTTAGAATCGCGATTTAAAATATTAGAAGCAATCGAGACGTGCAAAAATATAAATATTCGACAAGGTGCGTACAAATTTAATAATCATAATAAACAATTGAATGAAAAGTCGTCGTCACTAGTTATAGGAAATAATAAAGGTTGCTATATTTGTCAAGCGCCCCATACAATTTACAAATGTCCGATATTTATCGCGTTACCAGTTACAGAAAGAATAAAAAGAGTAGCCGAAATGAAATTATGTAAAGTGTGTTTACGACAGTCGACAGCACGTACCGAAAAAGTGTAACGGTAAGAATTGTTTTACTTGTTCTAAACCGCATAACACAATGCTACATCTTGGTAATAGTTCAGAGTTAAGAAAGTCGGAAGCAGAAAAACTGCCTGAAGATCAAGAAGCGATAGCAGCGGTTAGTGTACACGTAGCGGCTAGCTCGAGTGACCAGGTATTATTGTCAACGGCGGAGGTACGAGTTCAAAACGAGAGTGGCGAATCGCAAATCGGACGTGTATTGTTAGATTCAGGTTCACAATGCAATTTTATAACCGAAAGTATGGCACAAATATTAAAATTAAAAAAGACGCGCGTACAGCATACCGTATTGGGCATTGGCGGCAAAAGTCAAAACGTGAAGGCGGCTGTCGTAGTGACGATTCGTTCGCGCATTAATAATTATAATTTAACGTGTTCCTGTTTAGTTGTGCCTAAAATTACAAATATATTACCGTCAGAAAATATCGGAGGTGAATGCATAGTACCCTCGGATATAGAATTAGCGGATACTTCATTTAAAATTCCAAAAAAAATTGATTTGTTGTTATACGCGTGTCATTTTTTCGAAATATTGGGTAAACAAAAAATTAAACCGACAATAAATGGACCAATATTTCAAGAAACTCAATTGGGCTGGATTGTTTCCGGTTTAGTAACATCAAAATATACGAATGGCAAACCAAATAATGTAAATTGCCATACCGCGTTAGTAGAGGAAAACAGAAGTACTAATTTGGAAATTATGGTATCAAAATTTTGGCGTACAGAGGAGTTTGAGGCGGCAGTGCCATATACTACGGAAGAAAAAAAATGTGTCGATCACTTCGAAAGGACGGTTAATCGAAATGAAAACGGTAGGTTTATCGTACATTTACCGTTAAAAAATGACGTTAATATAAAAATCGGACCGTCATACGAGATAGCGAAACGTCGATTTTTAGCATTAGAGCGCCGATTGCAAAATGACGAAAAATTAAAAAAAGATTATATTACGTTTATGAGCGAATATGAAACGTTAGGTCATATGGAACTCGTAAAAAATGAAGAAAAGTTAGGTGAAACGTGTTATTTACCGCATCATGCGGTAAAAAATGAGAACAGTAAAACAACGAAGTTGCGAGTAGTGTTTGATGCGTAATGTAAAACGGAATCCGGATATAGTTTAAACGATACACTATTGAAGGGGCCGGTTATACAGACGAACTGCTATATATAATATCAAGATTTAGAACACATAAATTTGTATTAATGGCCGATATACAAAAGATGTACGATGTACCGCCAAGTATTGGTGACGAAGCAAGATAGCGAGAAACAACGAATTTTATGGCGCGCGGACCCCTCATTGCCAATACAAATTTATCGTTTAACAACACTTACTTATGGAACAGTACCGGCGTCATTTTTGGCAACAGCATGTTTAAGGAAAATATCTGAACTAGAATCGTCATATGTAAAAGCTTGTGAGGCAATTAGAAACGATTTTTATATGGAAGATTTCCTAAGTGGCGCTGAAACGAAGGAAGAAGCGATAAAGTTACGTGACGAAGTAATTTTAATAATGAAAAAAGCAGGCATGACGTTAAGAAAGTGGTCATCAAATGAACCAAGTATAGTTAGTTGTATGTCAGAAAAAGAAAATGCGAACGAGTGTATTTTTGAAGAAGAATCAATAACGAAAATACTCGGACTGTATTGGAATGCGGATGGTGATGTATTACAATACAAGGTAAAAGAATATCATGACGAAAATACTACAATAAGTAAAAGACACATTTTAGCCGAGACCGCGGCGATATTCGACCCGATGGGACTGGTCGGTCCAATTATAGTACAAGCAAAATTAATAATACAGAGCTTATGGCAAATTCGTATTAGTTGGGACGAGCCATTACCAGATAACATACGTATAGAATGGGTCAAATATAGAAAAGGTTTATCGATGTTAAACAAGCTGACCATACCACGTAATATCGGGTGTAATAAAATATTAACAAATATACAAATACACGGATTCGCAGACGCAAGTATCAAATGTAACGGAGCGTGTATTTTTTTACGTAGTACCAATGAACAAGGAGAACACACAGCCAAATTAATATGTGCAAAATCAAAAGTCGCCCCACTTAAAGTTATAATATCATTGCCAAGGTTAGAACTATGTGCAGCACTTTTATTGGCGCGTTTAGTGAGCCGTATTGTTCCGAAGTTAAAATTAAATATCGCGAAAAAATATTTTTGGTCCGATTCAAAAATAGTACTATCATGGATAGAGTCTCCATCGACAAAATGGAAGACATTCGTGGCACACCGTATCGGGGAGATACAGGATCTGTCCAACATAACAGATTGGGCATATGTTAAGTCATCGGAAAACCCGGCTGATATAATATCACGCGGGTGCGACGCAGAGCAAATATCAAGTATTAATTTGTGGTGGAACGGGCCGGAATGGTTAAAAAACAATAGGAGTGGCCGATAACAGAAAAAACCAGCCAAAATGATAACATAGAAATGCTACCCGAAGCGAAAACAATACGAAATATAGCTCTTGTGGTGACTGACGAATTTATATTATTCAAAACATATTCGTCGTTAAATAAAATATTGCGTATTGCGGCGTATTGGTTACGCTTTAGAGATTTTTTAGTGAAAAAATCTAGTGCCTCAGTCGGACCACTGAAAGCAGAAGACTTAGAACGTGCAAATATTGGACTAATTAAAAATGTACAAAATAATTTTTTTAAATTGGAAATAGAAAATTTAAAAAATAAAAAATCGATACCAAAAAGTAAAATAATTTTATTGCGACCGTTTATAGACGATAAAGATATATTGAGAGTTGGAGGTCGATTAAAAAATGCAATTACAATAGAGGTATTTCAACGACAACCTATTATTTTACCAGGTGACAGTATTTACACGAAATTGTTATTTCAGCGTGAACATATAAGGTGTATGCACGGAGGCCCATTTGCAAGGCCACTGCAGTTCTCGCTTTGAAAAATAGATTTCTGTATGTATAGGTCATTTTGTCGTTCCAAGTTGGGTCCAAGTCTTTTGCAACTAGTTTATGTTTTTCGCTAATTCCATAACTTTGATTTTTTCATTCACCGTGTTGAAACACACAGATAAAATTCTTGGTTTATCCGACAATTTTGAATGTAGTCGAAAGGCGTTTTAACTCGTAACATCAGTACCCAGTTTATTTATAATAGATTGAATAGTGTTAGAACAAATTTCATTTTTAGTCTCGGGTACACCTACAATTTCTATCTGACACTTTTAAGTTTTTGTTCAAGTTTATTTAAAAGCCCCGACAAATTTTCAGTTTCCTTCTTGAAAAGTAGATTTTCTTCTGTGATTCATTTCTTTAGCAGTGTCGCCGCCGTATCACCAGTAATTCCGCCGACCGAATCACACACACACACAACACAAATCTTTGTATTTATTATTTTTATGTCAATTGTGAATTATTATGTAATATATAAATGTAGATAAACGATTTATGTAATGCGGCCGCCGACGGCTCGCTGTGTGGAAGATTTAACACGGCCGCCCATCCCACCAGTTCGCCACAAACGGTCAAGTGATACGGTTATTATTATTTTGCGTGCGCGAATCGCCGTAAAATAATACAAACACGAGTATTAACATTGTTTAAGGCGCTAATCGCCAAGATTTTTATTGTTTCGTGGGTGCGAATCACCGCATTTTTTATTCGTATATTTTGTAAGCGCAAATCGCGCATTTTATTATTATTACGTGTTATTATTGTTGTGTGTCAATTATAAAATTTATTGTAATGCTGTGAGTGTCTTCCATTTATATTAGAAACAGGTAGCGGCTGGCCAGCAGTGCTCCGTAAATCAGTGAGTTTTTTGTTATTATTATTTTTATATTATATACTATACATTATACCTGAAGGCTGTCTTCACACCTTTATTATTTACTCAATTTTATCACCTGGTAAAAACAGATCTTAATTGCTGTAATTATTGTCAGGTTATATTTATTTGGGTGATACAGCTATTGAGCTGCATATACATATTTTACCTGTTAGTCCAGGTCGTAGTAATTATTAATTCATGCTCATTATATTTTTTACTTTTGTTATACCTACGTACTATGTTGCTGTAAATTAAATTTGTGTATTATATTATTATCTAGACGTGTGTATTATACAGCAACAAATAATCAACCAATTGTTACCATTTTTTCTTGAGTTACCTTTGTCTTTAATTATTGTTAAGTCTACACCCACACCTACACACCCCACCTACATTCCAGCACTCACAGGTTTTGCTCGGGGAACCTGTCCAATTCCTGTTGAGTGCTAAAACACATATACACACATAACACACAGGTCGGTCGGTGAGTAGTGGTGTAACGGCGCACGAAGTATTTAGGTACCGAGCACACGGGCTAATTATTGTTCGTACTCGGCCGAAACAAGCAGTATGGATACTATAATACGTACCTAGGTACATAATAATATGTTATATTTAAATCAATATAAATTATTTGATCAACTTGAAAACATAAAATCGTATAATATTATGTACCGTAAAATTTACTAACTTTTAATGTCGAATGCATTTTCACATGAAACATTTTCTCGGGACTCTAATATTATTATGAAGTGCTAACCTTCTCAACTTTTCACCTCGAAAAGTCATAATGTTCAATCTAGATAAAATAAATTATATTACGTTAATTCATTCTCACTCTTTAACTTAATTGTTGCGTACACTAACCTCGCTACGGATTGAGGTGGTAGTGCAGATCGGTCGTTACCAGAATTATATGGGATGAGAGTAGGTACTTGACAATATCGGGCATACGTAAACTGCGCCCAAATAACCTTTTTTTTTGTAAACTGCGCCCGAATTTTTATCTTAGTTAAAAAGGTATAATGTAAACTAACCCAAACTTATTAGCTTATTAAATTTTCACCTATCAAAGTATCTTTGTTTGACGATTGTGTACTTTTTCAAGTATATCACAGACATTTTATTTTCGTCAAGAAATATCATCACGTTACCGAATATCTATATTGCAGTAATACGACAATTGATGGTTATCACTACTTCCGGCATAGTTCTGCTAGTACCATAGACATATTAATAAATGGACTGATCGTAGAAAAAGAGGTTCGTATACCAACATTGTTAGAAAGAAATAGCATACAACTTAAGATGGTCATAAAAGAACAAATTACATATCATGGAGTAAAAAACATTATAATCAATTTAAAACCATTTAGGTAGATAACAAAAATTGGTAATATATTAATATTTAACATTTATATTATTATCATGATCATCCATAGATAAATTATTATGTTATCACCTCCAAATTTTGCTTGTCATTCCATGATATCTAATTTTTTGATCTATGATTTTCTTAAACTATGCTCTATCTCTTTCACATTCATGTATAATATCTTTGATCTCTTTCTAACAACGTTGGTCTCACGGTGACATAGGTGGGGTGTGTGGGGGACGCAGTCCATTTATTAATATGTCTATGGCTAGTACCTATCGTATTCATTTTAATCAGTAAAGTCACGATGGCCGAACAATTCATGTCGCAGCGCGAAATATGTTTGAAAATTATTTCTAATTTTAAGTTTCGTAAAAGTAATCGGCCTCTAAGTTCAGGTGAGGTTAAGTGGCGATGTACGATCAAAACTTGTATAGCATTTTTAAAAACGGTAGGTGATGCCGACAGAATCACTGAACAAAGTTTAAACCATAACCACGAATCATAAAGTGATCAAAACCTTCAAAAACAATTCGTGACTGGTATCGTAAAACGCAAGGTGACTGAAGATACATGCACTAAACCTAGTAAAATATTTTGTAATGGTATAAAAAATATACCAACGGAACAGTTACAAGTAAGTGATGTACGTAATATTAAAAGAAATATATATAATGCTAGAAGAAAGATATTGCCTCCATTCCTTAAATCAATTGAAGAAATTCAATTATTTCTTGATGAACGCGGTTCAAACAAATAGAGATGAATTATTTTTAGGGGGGTAAACCACTAGTCAATTTTTGTACTTCCATGTATTTCCGTATACTTCCAAATACTTCCATATAATTCCAAGTATTTCCATACATTACTTTCTAATACTTCTATGTATATTCCTAAATATTTTAATTTACCTATGATTACTTTTCTGAATACTTTTAACATGTTATACATAACATGTTAAAATATTTTAGTACAATTTAATTTAGAAGCTTAAGTAACTGAAGTACCTATCTATAATTTCACATCAGATAATCCAAAAAACTCTTTAGATTTCATATATTATGTAATTAAAAAAGTATTATACTTGATAGGGCAAAAAGCCAAAGAATATTAGTATACAAGTACTACTATACTAAAAATACATTAAACCAATGTTCAAGTATAGTTAATCAAAATTTATTTTTATCAGGTTTGAACAAAGAAGTTTATTAGTGTTAAATGCAAGTTTTAAGTAAGTACAGATTTAACACTTATATTAAAATGAATAAAATGTAGTTCTATAAATATTAACAAGTACATACTTGTGCTATAACTATATAAAAAAAAAAAAAATGTTGAATACAAATTTAGATTCTACAATTCTACAAATAACTGAAATAAAAGTAAACAATATGTGCTAATTGAAATAATAATAATTATTATTATAGATGAAAGAAATGTATTTTGCCTTTAGTTGTATTTTTTAATACAAAATATAAAAATTCATTACTTGTAACTATATTACTTAATTTTATGTTTAGAACTAGGTATTGATTAATAATTAAATAATTTATAAAAAGAGAAAAACCAAAAACTATTTAAATGAAATATAAATAATAAATACATATCTTATCAATTTAAAACAAATTAAAAACATTGTAACTAACAATAATAATAATTTAAATTTTTTGTATAGTTTCATTTTATTACATTTATCTGATCTTTTAATATCAAATGGATTACAACCGATCAAAGAAATTGGTCCATAAAATATGTATTTTTGAGGTACTAATTGTAAATCGACTTGAGGCCATTTAAACTTATCCAACTCTGCTTTTAAAAATTTTATTTTACAATTATTTTCTGTTATTTCGAGAATATGACCAATATACCAGCCACTGTCTTATATGATAGCATAATATTTTTCAGTTTTAAGTGATATTATACTATCATTTTGACTGCTTTCGGAAGATTCAGTGTCTGGAAAATCGGCATATTTTATTATTTCATTTCGTGAATCTTCTGAAGAATCTTCCTCAGTAGTACCTTTTTTCTTTTTGGTCAGTGTATAGGCAGGTGGTATTTTATTTTCAGGGCTAGTTTTCGATGATTTTTTGTTAATTCTACATTCGTAATTACTCATAAACCGCCGCAACCGATCACTGCTGACCCGATCTCTTGGTTTTTCTAAAAGCCAACAAAGTGAAGATTTTTTTCTAATAGTTGACTTATTATTTGCTAAACTTATTTTCACAAAAGGTGAATCTATAGGAATATCGTTTTTGTTGTCACTACATGAATATTTGTTTAAAATGTGTTCACTGAAATCTTGAAGATTTAGGAAATTACCACAATTCAATATCTCGCTAATATTATTAACATCTTCAGCAAAATCTAAGTAGTCTGTTTCATTAATTAAATTGCTATGTGATAAATCTGCATTAAGTTCTTCTTCAATTACTTTATATTTTTCTCTGTTAGTTTTGTTAAAAATAATGGCTTTTCAAAAACTAAATCTTTGTTTACAATCATTCCAATACGAGTTTCAGCGATTTCCTTTGCATCATTGAAACTTCTATGTATAATATTTAAAATAGTATTATTAGAAAAATATGAGAAATCTGTTTCTACTGTTTTAGTTGATGTTTTCCCTCGAGTAAATTTAATGTCTATTTTTGAATTTAATAATTCAGCTTTAATCTCATTTATTGATTCAATACGTTTAAGTCTTGACATAATATCTTTCATAGAAAAGTTAA